AAAATAATAAAATGTAAATCATAAAAATGTACGGTTTCACACGTACAGTAACTCCATGCAAACGTAGCTGTGCGGCTTGTATTTGTGCGCGCCCGCCGTTCGCCTTGTACGGACGCATACATTCGCTTAACCTCGTGATGAACTTGCGTTGCATAACACAGGTAGGGCTAGCACGACATGGCGCGATTTGCGCGTGAGCGACATGTAGTGCGAGATACTGCTATTCTCGCATAGAGATTTCGCGCTTTATATCACTCTAACGCTAGTCACGTCCTAACGTGCTTATCCTACTGGTAGGGATACAGAAAAAGCATAGATACTTTTTGAGCACTTTTCGAGTACTTTTCCTTCCGATACCGATACTTTTGTACTCGATACTTTTCCAGTATTAGTATTTTTTGGCAAATCTAGTATTGTATCGAGTTCTTAGGTTTTCGCGATTGTTACATATAGGAAATGAAACTGTTTTTCCGGATTTAAATCGCGTATATTTGTTTTTTCAGGCTAGACGCAAATATAGATAAAATGTTACGACATAATGAGAACGCGCCCTAAATCTTTATGTAATTAATTTATCGTTATTATATTATATTATAATAAATAAATAAATGCAAGTGTAATGTGTTGTTTATTCAAAGAATAAATGGTTTCTATTTCTTTTGTCATTTAGAATGCTTCAAGGCAAACCAAAACCTATAATTCGTTGGTTTCTCAAGACACGCGAAGGACTTAAGGAAATTGATGCATCAGGAGATTACATAATTGTTTATAACATATCGACAGAAATATCGGGCAAGTACGGCTGTGATGCTCACAACATTGTGGGTATTGATACTCATTATACGGATATTATTGTGGATTGTAAGTACATGTATGCATAATATTTTCAATTTATCAGGTTCTTTAAAGGGTAACATGTAAAGGCAAATGTATAAAGGTGATTTTGTTGTACCGCTATATCCTACGACTTAGATTAGAAATACACGTCACTCGTACTACGCCTCCTACATTGCCCGTATTGTTAGTGTAAGAAAATTTGTCTTTAAAAAATTTCAACAAAAAGTAGCTGCTGAAGGGTTAATAATTTACTTCTAGTTCCACCAAACTTTGAAGAAGATAATGGAGAAATCATAGCAGAAGAAGGTGATAAAATAACAATCCATTGCAGCGTGGAAGGTGAACCTGCCCCTGAAGTTATATGGTTTGTCAATGACACGGGAATTGATTCTAAACGTCTCAGCATTGATAAAGCTCACAGTTTGAAGTAAGTTACAATGCAATAAAGCAATTTGGGTTTACTAACGTAAAATTTAAAATTCAACAATCCCAGAAGTACATAGAATCCAGATAGATTGGTGCTAGACCTAAGTATTGTTCTCAAACTGCACTATTTCAAAGAAATTGTTACAGCGTGGGTATTAAAATATTTAATAAAAGAGAAATATTGAAGTGCATATCACAAAACTTAATACATATAAAATTATGTTCATTATTCCAATAACTTTCACATCTAAAAAAATATTTCACTACGTAATAAAACAACAGTCTAACAAAACTAGTATCAAAATTAATTTAAAAACATGTATCAAAACTAGACCTCTGCTAATTACCCAGTGTTTAACGAATGTGTTCATTTATTTACCAAAAATGTGGTTTACATAACAAAAATACTGATTGCACATCAACTTAAATTAACTCTAAACGAAATAACAATTATTTTAACAAAATTACCGTAATTTTTCTCAAAAGTTGCTCCACAAATTATCTTCGTTTATACAATGAATCACGTATAACAAATATATTTATGATATAACGAATAATACATATTGCCTAACATTATTTCAAAAATGTCATCTAATTTACTGAAAATAATCGGGACCTTTTATTACTTTCGTATACAACCTTGAGTCTTGTATAATATGCCCGAATAAAGAACAAGCTAGAACGCTGTGCAAATGAAACTGCCCTAATTTTTTCAAAAACTATAAATGCAAACAGTCATGTTGTAGGGCCTGCGATCCGGCTCATGTATGTACCAGCAGACGCCAAAAATGTTCTAATCGGACAGAAAAGTAAACGTGGACGTCCTGCGAAAGCTTCTTATTGTTTTGGACAAATTGTACAATTAGACCATAATGGTCTAATAAAATGGTGTTTCATTCCGGTAGACTGACGTACCTTTTAGTGAAATGGGTATGTTTTTTCTCATAAAGTTGTGGGCATACGTTTGTTGTGTGCCAGAAATATGAGATATGTATTTAGATATTAGATATCGCACTGCTATTACAATAGTGTTGTAACTCAAAAAGAGGACTTTCTCAGAATCGATGAAAAACGAATTACTCACTTCCTGCAAAAAAATTATTAAAATTTATATGTTATAGTTTATTATAGACACTTAAACAATTTATCAAATATATTTAACGATAAAATGGAAAAAATAATTTCATCGGTATGCAAGAAGACGTCGGTTCGAATCCGACCGGATCGAAGGAATTTTTTCTGAGTGTTCGATCTTTGTATTAATAATTATAACAAACTAGTGGAGTAATTTCACAAAAAATAATTGAATATCAATTCAATAAAAATTTAATTAATAATTTCATGTTTTGAATAAGGATTATTTTGGCCAGTCTCGCTCACATAAAGTATGTCTCATTTTGAGTTAAGTAGATGTCTTTTGATTGTTTCTTACAATATTCTAACGACGACGGTTGTTTTGAAGTGTAGAGAATCAAGTTTACGTTCAGTAATGATATAATAGTAAATTTCACATATTTTGAGTTACAACACTATTGTATTGGCAGTGCGATACGCATTGCGATAAAATGTTATTCATTAATATTAGTACATAATGTTAAATTAATTTTCTTTTGATGTACATATTTGATGTGCAATCAGTACTTTTGTTGGGGAAGTGGCATATTTGGTTGTGAAAAAACCTGCTTTTTGGTAAGCGATTAAATACTACCCTTAATAAAATACCGAATGATTTGAAAGTATTGCCGACAAATCGAATGTGCAGGAAATTAGAGAATCGGCTTTCAAAAAGTTTTTATAATTTTAGAATACACCTGATAAACTTATAGTTAGGTAGTAGGTACATATTAAAAACTAGAATATCTTTGTTTAATGTAAGTTAAAATTTTTGCATGCCGATGAACGGTAAGGGTGCGTACAGATCTAGCGATTGCGCCGCGAACGCGCTGCATGCGTGCAGATGAATACATGTTAGTATATGCGGCGCGAGAGTGGCGCGCGAACAGATCGCACTACGTAATTCGCCAGATTTGTACGCACCCTAAGAAATGCTGCACTAATTAATAACACCTTTGTAAACTTTTATTTAACCATATCTTATGCAAATAAAATAATTTTATTTCATCTCAACCAATAAATTCTTATGCTTATTAAAAAACCGTTTGATGTACACTTTATCATAGGTTTAAAGCAACATTAACTGACAGCGGCACCTACAGGTGCCAAGCTACCAACAAACATGCCACGAGAAATCGAACAACCCGAGTGCTGATTTTCAGTGAGTATAATTTTTTCTTAGTGCCCCCGCGCACTGGATCACTAGTCACTAAACGCGACCTCTAGTGGCCTAGTCAAGCCACTAGACGCGGCCACCAGTGGCAACCACTGTCGAGTGGCTGGATTCGGCCATCAGTGTGGCTAGAAATCATCCATTTTGCCAAATTCGACGTTGGTGTCACCAGCGTTAACATGAAAAATAGCACATACGATTAGAACTTTATTTTTAACTTTAGATTTACTTTGAATGACAGGTCAAGAATTTCATTTTAAAGTAAATTTTATGGGTCAAAAAGACGCTACAAGTCGTTAAAATCAAATTTTTGCCCAATAAACATAAAGTACACTGAAACCACCAGCTTCAGCCTTAAATGTATAAAAAATCTCGTCTGTAACTTGTGGCCGCCACTCGTGGCCCAATGAGCGTGTGCTCTTAAAGAAAGTTACAGGGTACGGTTTTTATAAAGTCAGAGCCACATTAGCTGAAAACGTGAGCGTGTATGATAATAATAATGGATAAGAGGAAACGGAAGGAGGTAAACATAATGTTCGTCAAGAGTGCTGCAAGTTAATACCCGTGGTCTATTAGTAAAGGTATATTATGTATAACGATTTGTTTTTGTCAACAGAACCACCACAAATCGAATCCCCTGTAGAAAGCCGAAAAGACGTCACAATAGGCGGGAACGTCACACTTCCTTGTGTCGTAGATGGATTCCCAAAACCAGACATTACATGGGTTTTCTACAGCTCCAATACGTCAATACAATCCCGGAAACTGAAGTTAGCACGTTTTAATATAAAACTAAATCTTAAAAATGATCTTAAATTAAATAGGTACACACTAAAGACGTCTATGAATATGAGGGCAAAAAGTGTAACTAACTTTTTGTTTCCAGAGTGCTAGGTTAATTTATTCAGCTTTCAATTAACTGCATTTATGTATTTGATTTCAGAGCAGCGGATCCATCAGGCTCTTTATCGTTAAGAGCAATACAACATGACAGTGAAGGACGATATGTTTGCGAAGCGAATAACATTGGTGGCAAGAAAACAATCACTTACGAAATAAAAGTTCTCGGTAGGCTATTTAGTGCTGCTTAGGCTCTAAGGTCTGATACAAATATTGAAAACTGAAATATTGAAACAAAAAAAAATCTCTAAAGTAAGATAGACCTAAGTGGTTTAAAATGCGATTATATTATATTAAAAATTTACAAATTGTTTTAATGACAAAAGTGTGTGTTAAGACATTTTAGGTTCATTAAAATTACTCTGTAGTACTTAAGTTGCTAACAAATTTGTTGTTTTTAGAACCGCCTGTGATAGACAAGAAAATAAAAGAAATTCGAAAACCTCAAGGAACTGATGTTCGCATTGAATGCAGGTAAGTTATGAAAGACTTAATTTTTTTATTTATTATTTTTATATTATATTACCCTTTCATATTATTCTAACCAGATTTGTCTGAGTAATTTAGCTCCTCTTCACGAAAACTATTTAGCAGAACAGAACATCATATTTCATAGGAATATTCACACTTATGAAGGAATAAGCCGATTCAAAATCACAAATATTAATAAGCTATTGGCTCACTGCAAAGTCGCAGCATGCTCGCAGGATAGTGGAAACGGTTCAATTTCTAAATCAATTTCCCAAAAATGGTCAAAATGGAATTGTCGACAATTCTTGTATTACCTATAATCGTGCATTATTTGAGCTACTTATTGTCATTGCATTTGTGATAAATAAACACATCTCGACGAAAAGTGTATGTCAAAACTCGTCGACAGCGTGTAAAATACTTTTAAAGTGGTGCACTATGGACCTGTATCTGTAGGA